CAGGCGGCCCTGGGAAGCAAGAAAACGGGCTGTTAACTCAACGGGGCACCAAAATCAGTCGCCAAGAGAGAAGGTGCAAGAACCACCAGCAAAAACGCGTCCCTCCTGGCATGAAACATCATTTATCACACGTGCTCGAGCTCCCCAGTCTTGGTTGCCCTTGCAACCAGGCTACTAAGAAGTGAAAAGCTCAGGAGAGAGAAAAAGGAAAACCACAGGTTGAGCTGCTGAGGTGCATAGAGGTGATTTCTGAGCCCCCCCCGAGAGGTGATTTCTGAGCCCCACGGCTCATCCAGCCCTGGTTTCCTTCCCCCGCGAGCTGAGAAGAGGTGGCGGCTCCCGCTCCGTCGCCAGCAGCTCACCTCCGCCAGGAGGACGATCCTCTTCCCGTCCGGCCAGATGACGTGGTCCACCTGGGACCTCACCCTCTCCCAGGTCAGCTCGGGCGTGCGCAGGCTGGCCTGAAACACAGCGCCCAGAGGGTTAAAGAACCAGCAAAAAGATCTCAAACCAGAAGCTGCGGAACAGGGATGAAAAGAGGAAACGACTCACTGGGCTTCAAGATTCTTTTGGGTCTGGTTGACATTCCAGACCAACCTTTAATGAATCATAACCTGGAGCTATTTTTTACGGTGACATCAAAGCTCTGCCAACGACTATTGCTTGAGCCCCTCTGGCTGAAGAGGATCCACAAGACACCAACCCTGCAGGACCATGTTCGCCTCTTCCCAACCCAGAAAATGCCTTTAAACCCGTGGGTTTGGCCGAGCAATTCTCCATTGACCTTCGGAGAAGATTCTCCCGGTTTCCTGCTCATCTCTAAGCACAGATGAGCAGACTTTGGTCAAATGGGGCTGCCCAAGCATCCCGAATGCCCCGATCACCCCGCTCCGGCGCGCGTCCCCGGCGCTCACCACGTCGATCTCGGTGTTGGAGTGCCCCATGTTGCAGACGATGCAGCTGTTCTTCATGCGATCCAGATGTTCCCTGGTCACCACGTTCTTGTTGCCTGCCCAGCAACAAAAAAAGACGGAGAGTAGAAAAAAAAGACGGAGCCGATGAAGGGAGCCCCGGCCGCCCGCCTTGGGGACCCCCGTACCTGTGCAGGTGATGACGATGTCAACTTGTCTGATGACTTCATTGAGTTTCACGAGCCGGAATCCATCCATGCTAAGAGGAGAAGAGGGGAAAAATAAGTTGGAGAAGCAGCAAAAATATGCCAAAACCATAAAAAAACCCCATCACCACGTCATTCTCAGTCGTTTTAACTCTCTGGTGCCGGGCTGGGACATGGCAGCACAGCACACGGAGAGGGGTCTTGGAGCTCAAGTCATGAGATGGGTTTCTGGAGTCAACCAGGAGGATTTGGGATCGTTGTGGGGAGAAGCAAAAAGGAGATTTGGGGGGTTTTTCACATTTTCTGTCAAAGCCTCCACAGCTGCACGTCTCGGTTTTCAATCGAGTTTAACTCTCTGGTGCCGGGCTGGGACATGGCAGCACAGCACACGGAGAGGGGTCTTGGAGCTCAAGTCATGAGATGGGTTTCTGGAGTCAACCAGGAGGATTTGGGATCGTTGTGGGGAGAAGCAAAAAGGAGATTTGGGGGGTTTTTCACATTTTCTGTCAAAGCCTCCACAGCTGCACGTCTCGGTTTTCAATCGAGACGGCTTCTTTGGTTTTTTTCCCAAGGTGCTGCTCCTGCAGAGCACAGCCAGAAGATGCCGAAACACTGTCCTGCTGCAGAATCCTCTCGGATCTGGATTTAGATCACCTCGAAACCAACTCAAACCCCGTCGCCAACCCGAAAATCCAGATTTAGGCACCTACGCAGCCGTCAGAGGTGCTGAGCACTCAGCAAGTCTCTCCTGGCTTCACCGAGCAAGATGCATTGGGCAACCAGGGCAGGGTTTGGGGTTTTTTTTAGGATTCATCAACAGTCCTGCCAAGAACTTTACTTCTGTGACTTTCACAAGCTGAAAAATCACAGTTGCTATAACAAAAAAAAAAAAAGTTTTTTTTTTCTGCTTTATGCCCCATTTACTGTTTGTAAGAGTCAGGGCAGGGGTTGCTGCCAACGACTGAATTCCCAGTTAAGGATGCGGGTGCTTCCAGAAACCGAACTATCCCCCGAGTGAGGTGGTACAAGCCTTGAGTTTGCTCTCCAAAGGTTAAGGTTCACTCCCAATCTTCTTTCAAGCCATAAAGCTGTTCACTGAAGTCTTTCAAGCCCTACCTTTAAAATCTTTCAAGTCCTACCTTTAAAATCTTTCAAGCCCTGTCGTTGAAGTCTTTCAAGCCCTAAGGTTAAAGTCTTTCAAGACCTACTGTTCAAGTCTTTCAAGCCCTCAAGTCTTTCAAGTCCTGAAGTCTTTCAAGACCTATCGTTGTCAAGACCTATAAGTCAAGTCTTTCAAGCCCCATCCTTGAAGTCTTTCAAGCCCTATCGCTGAGGTTTTTCAAGCCCTAAGGTTTAAGTCTTTCAAGATCTATCATTGCCGAGACCTACCTTGAAGTCTTTCAAGACCTATCTCTGAAGTCTTTCAAGTCCTGTTGTTGAGATATATCAAGACCTATTGTTCAAGTCTTTCAAGCCCTGAAGTCTTCCAATATCTATCCAAGACCTATCCTTGAAGTCTTTCAAGACCTATCCTTGAAGTCTTTCAAGCCTTATAGTTGAGGTCTTTCAAGACCTATCGCTGATGTCTGTCAAGCCCTAAGGTTAAAGTCTTTCAAGATCTATCATTGTCAAGACCCACCCTGAAGTCGTTCAAGCCCTATTGCTGAGGTCTTTCAAGAGCTATTATTCAAGTCTTTCAAGCCCTGAAGTCTTTCAAGATCTATTGTTGTCAAGACCTATAATTGAAGTCTTCGAAAATCTATCATTGAAGTCTTTCAAGCCCTTTTGTTGAGGTCTTTCAAGATCTATTGTTGAAGTCCTTCAAGCCCTCAGGTTGAAGTTGTTCAAGCCCTAAGGTTAAAGCTGTTCAAGCCTAAGGTTTAAATGTTTCAAGCCCTAAGGTTTAAGTCTTTCAAGCCCTACCTTGAAGTCTTCCAAGCCCTTTTGTTGAGGTCTTTCAAATCTTTCAAGCCTTAAGGTTAAAGTCTTTCAAGCCCTATCATTAAAGTCTTGGCCCCTGTGGCTGCGATCACACAAGCCTGCAGGCTGGACGTGGGTAAACTGGGTGATGCTTTTGTGCAGGAACCCTTTCCCAGCTGTAGGAGAGAGCTGGGAGTCTCTCCGAGGGTGCCCAGAAGCCACCGACCCCTCGTGAGCCCCTCAATCTCGGGAGGTTCCGTGGTTTTCTTGGGGGAAAACCAAATAAAATAATAAAACCCTAACGAAGGGGCTGCTTACCAGGCCTGGAGGGCGCAGATGGGATCGATCTCGGTCACGTAGACGATGGAGCCCATGGCCTTGAGGGCAGCGCAACAGCCCTTCCCGACCTGGGGAGAGAGAAGAGCGTGGCAGGAAGGGTGAGGCGCCGGGGAAGGTACGACGCCGGGAGTCCTCTTGCGTCCGCCCAATTTCTGGGCATGGGGAATTCCTGGATTTGGGGCGATCCAGGTCCTGAGTCAGGCCCGGGCTGGGGAAGAGAGGCGCTAAAAAAATGCAAAAGCACCTTTGGTTTTGGTCGCGGGGAGTTCTTTTTCCCCAAAAAACATCCCGGTGTTGAGAAAGCTCCACGATAACGAGAGATTACGCTG